TCTTCAAGTCATTTCTGACTTATGGCGACCCTGAGGTGAAAACCCTGAGGTTTTCTTGGCAATTTGCCTCAGAGGAGTTTTGCCATTGCCTTCCCCTGAGGCTGAGAGTATGTGACTTGCCTCAGGTCACCCAATAAGTTTCATGGCCAGGCAGGGAATTGAGCCATGGTCTCAAGAGTTGTGGCCCAACACTAAAACCCCACTATGTCACACTGTTGTTGCTGTTGTTGGTGTGTGCCTTCAAGTCATTTCTGATTTATGTCAACCACCATGAGGTGAACCTATCATAAGGTTTTCTTGGCAAGTTTCCTCCGAGGGGGATTTGCCATGGCCATCCTCTGAAGCTGAGAGAGTATAGACTTGGTTGTAATTGTGTGCCTTCAAGTAGTTTCCAACTTATGGTGATGCTAAGGTGACCCTATATTGGTTCCCCCACCACAGCTCTCTGTCTGGGCTTCTCCTTCCTTCCTTCCTTCCTTCCAGCTCAGCCTCAGAGGATGGCGATGGGAAACCCCCTCTGAACAAATCCTGCCAAGAAAACCCCATGATAGCTTCACCTTAGGGTCACCATAAGTCAAAATGACTTGGATGCACACAACAACAACAATTCAGCTTCCACAGAAACCAATATGGAAGATTTCTTTCCCTGTGGGACCTTCCTCAGCGTTTCTGCCCAAGCCTGTTATTGAATTATTGTTGTTGTTTTGTGCCTTCAAGTTGTTTCTGACTTATGGCGACCCTATCATAGAGTTTTCTTGGCAAGTTTCTTCAGAGGGGGTTTGCCATTGCATTTTTAGGAACAAGTTTGTGACCTGAAACAGATTGAAGAACATGGTAACTCTGGAAGCAAATGGTTAATATGCTGTAGGAAACATGTTTTATTTGACATGTCTTGGATATCTGTTTTTATCCGTATTATCCCACTCCACAGTTTGAGAACCACTGAATTAGCCCCTTTCCTTAAATGTGCAAAACAATCTTCCTTGTTTTCTCTCCTTGCCCTGTCTCTTTGCCCCCTCGTTTTATCCTTACACCAGTCCTGTGAGGTAGATTGGGTTATCTGCCTGAAAAAACATATACAAAAGGATCTTGTGGCACAGTTAGTCTGAAAGATGCTACAAGATCCCTTTGCATATAACAGGGGTAGGCAACCTAAGGCCCGGGGGCCGGATGCGGCCCCCTGAGGACTTTGGACCGGCTCCATGCCGGTCCTGCCGCCGCCGCCGCCTGCCATGATGATATTGATTATTGTTATTACTTGTTCTTGGGGTTTTCTTGGCAAAATCTCCACAGGGCTTTTGCCATGGCTTTTCTGGAGCTGAGAGAGTGTGCATGCATATTTTTTTATTTTTTATTTTTTATTTTATTTGTATTTATTTATTTATTTTTGGTGCTTCGGCCCCCCAGTTGTCTCAGAGACAGCAACCCGGCCCCAGGCTCAAAAAGGTTGCCTACCCCTGGCATATAATATTCCAGACTAAGGACCTTTGCAGACTGCCAGAAATAGTGCAAATTGAGTCCACTTTAACTGCCCTGACTGAGTGCTAGGGAATCATGGGAAGTGTAGTTTATTGTGGCACCAGAGCTCTCTGACAGAGAAGACTCAATGTCTCAGAAAAAATACAATTCCCATGATTCCTAGCACTGAGCCAGGGCAGTTAAAGTGGACTCAGTTTGCACTATTTCAAGCAGTCTGCAAAGGCCCTTACTTAAGAATATGTAACGTTTAATATTCTTTCCTTTTAATTTCCTTGTATATTCTGAATCTTGAGTCTCTTGTTTCTATGAACCTCATGACTTATTTCATTTAGTGGTTACCTATAAATCTGTAATTTCAATTTTTTTATTTATACATATTCATACATATACAAATACAAATACTTTCGCTTAATTTGTATAATTTGTATCTTATTATTACTGTACCTCTATCTATAAATAAGTATTTCACTATTATAGTATTGCATCTCTAAATGCAATACAGACTGCCAAAAATAATGCAGCTTGAGACCACTTTAACTGCCCTGACTCAGGGGGGTTGCAGACTGCCAGAAATAGTGCAAATTGAGTCCACTTTTAGGGTTAGGGTTAGTGCTAGTGCTAGGGAATCATGGGAATTGTTTTGTTTTTTTTCTGAGACATTGAGTCTTCTCTGTCAGGGAGCTCTGGTGCCACAATAAAATACAGTTCCCATGATTCCCTAGCACTAACCCTAAAAGTGGACTCAATTTGCACTATTTCTGGCAGTCTGCAACCCCCCTCAGTGCTAGGGGCTCATGGGAACTGTAATTTATTGTGGCACCAGAGCTCTCTAACAGAGAAGGCTCAATGTCTCAGAAAAAACCATGATTCCCTAGCACTGAGCCGGGGCAGTTAAAGTGGCCTCAATTTGCACTATTTCTAGCAGTCTGCAAAGGCCCTATCAGTTATGGCTGCATCCACACCATAGAAATAATGCAGTTTGACACTGCCTTTAACTGCCATGGCTCCATCATATGGACTCCTAGGATTTGTAGTTTGTTGGGTGTACCAGAGACAGAAAAGGCTAAATATGCCACAAAACTACAAATCCCACAATTCCACAGCATTGAGAGCCATGGCAATTAAAGTGGTGTCAAACTGCCTTATTTCTGTTGTGCAGATTAAGCCTATGTTTCTGAATTCTACGTGAAAGAGAGTAATCGGTCAAAAAATATATTAAGACTGATAAATATTTGAACTGAAATTTGAATCCAAGTTGTCTCCCTCAGACTTAGTGCCACACTATAGCCATTTCATTGCACTGCTAGTTTAATAACTTTAATAACTTTCATGTTTAATAACTTTAGTAGACCTGTTCTTCTTTCTACTTGATTGAGCACTATTCCAGATTTTTGCTGGACGTCAATAATCCACTTGCTCTAAATTTGCAGTCCTCTTGATTTTGTTGTTTAGAGCAGCCTTTCTCAACCTTTTTATCCTGGAGGAACCATTGAAATAATTATCTAGTCTCAGAGAATCTTTGCAAAAAAAAATATGTCTAGAATTCATGATACATTTGTGAGATCAGTAAGTTGTAGATATAGGGGGGTTGCAGACTGCCAGAAATAGTGCAAATTGAGTCCACTTTTAGGGTTAGGGTTAGTGCTGGGGAATCATGGGAATTGTTTTTTTTTCTGAGACATTGAGCCTTCTCTGTCAGAGAGCTCTGGTGCCACAATAAAATACAGTTCCCATGATTCCCTAACCCTAAACCTAAAAGTGGACTCCATTTGCACTATTTCTGGCAGTCTGCAACCCTCCATAGTAATCTAATAATTGTCAGTGCTCTTTATGTAGAGAAAGGTATTTTTCTGTGGATCTATTTATTATGGCCAACTTATTTACCTGCTCTTTTTATGTTGTTCCCCCTGCCCACAAATGTATCAACTTGAATGCAAGCCAGTCCTGTAGATAAAAGAAACTATTGTTTTTCTTTTAAAACAAAATTGTACATGTTTTTTTAAACTACAGTTGCCCCTCTGTTTTTGCAGACTTGAAGTCCGTGTCCCTCATCCATTCATGGACAGCAAATGGAGGGGGACAAAATAGGATGTGCGCCCGCAGGTGCCTATGGGCACACATCCCCATTCAAGCCTATGGGGCTTGAATAGTTGCAATTTTCCATTTTTGCAGGGGGTCCGGAACAGATCCCCTGCGAAAACGGAGGGGCAACTGTATATCAAAGTAGGCCTAAAAGTTTTGTTATCAATTTCTATCCTACAAGTTGCTGATGAGCTTTGGTATGTGTAAGAGTAATTTGTTTT